TTTAACTAACTTTTCTTTAAATTATTTTATTATTTTCCTATATTGAAAATTTATATAGAGAGTGAGTTTAGCTCTTCAAATTTGGAGAGTCAAACCAACTCTCTAAATTAAAATATTAATTTAAAGAGTTTCTTGAAGCATGATTTTAAATGTCAACTGTTTAAAATAGAGAGTATCTCATGTTTAAAGAGTCTCGTGGAGATGCTCTAATAAGTTACGTATAAAGCTATATATACACGGGTGAGCATGCTCTATGTAGACAAGATAATTAACCTTCACAACTTTTATGTCTACGTTTGATCTACATTTTTTAAAATTTATTTTCCATCACATATTTTATTGGATTCACAATTATCATCCACTTAGCCCCTGTTTGGCCCCCATTTTGGAGTGTTGAAAATTTTTGGAATAGTGATTGATGGGAGAATGTGTGGTAGTAAAGTAATTAAAAGTTTTAGATTTGTGTGCAATATTATTTTATTTGATGAATCTGCAGTTGAAACGAAAAGAGAAAAAATTCATGTAATGTAATGGGAAAAAATGGGGGCCAAATGGGGGCTTATTTCTATCACATTATCATTTTAATATCTTATAAATTTATCCAAACAAACACGGTCTTCTCCAAATAATTATGTTAGGTGTTTGACAATTTAAATATATTAATTTTAAAACTAATCATACAGGAAGATTCATGGTCTAGATTGCTCTTGCTTTCACTATCTAGCTTTCATCATATTTCACAATCATTGCATGCTGATTTAATGTGTACTAATTTAAATATTTTGCATTCTCATTTTTTATTTTTTTATTTTTTTTGCTTCAAAATTAGTATATTGAGGATTACGGGAACATAATCAATGACTCATTTGAGGACACAAATTATTTAATATAATACTAGTTTGAGCTTTACAGTTTTAATATCATACTGAATTTTAAACTTTACTCTTAAATCTCAAGCCCTTGTTTAACAGGCGCCTTAAGTATAGTTGTTGTAACGATCCGACCTCTATCTGTACTCAAATTGTTAACTTACATGATATCCGCTCTGAGAGAGTTTGAGTCTCGTCCTTCAGTATTCGAACTCATGATCTCTCTTTTAAAAGAAATTTAAGTTGAATTTCAGTATCATTGTGGTCCTCGACACCCCCGACTTGTCCTCGATTTAGGGAAATC